AAAACCATCTTCACCTAAATTTGAGTTCATCCAGTCATTGGCAAGGGCCACAGCATTACAGAGCCCCCACCGTGCTGAACAGTGGACATGAGATGCCCTTCCATCTGTTGTTTCACAGCAGACCAGCCTGAGGTTATCATTGGAGGCTTATTGGAGAGGCCCAAAGCTCCTATGTTTGTTTTTGCGATGGTTGTTGTGTCGATGATGTTGTTATGGAGACTTGGTCTCTCACAGATGCTAGGTGGATATTAATAACTGTCCGTACAGGAAAGGACACTGTGATTGCAGATATTGGATAATTTAGTTTAGAAGTACTGGATACAAGGAATCCCAAACACTTCATGTAACACAGATACTGTACCTGTTCTTCCGTAAAGGTTAAAAAAAAATAAAATAAAAAAAAATAAATAAACTTTTCGCCACCTCTCCAGGAAGCTTTCTTAATTCAAATGTCTGGATCTGCGGTGAGTTTGAGTCTTTATATAGACAAGGCCCTGTATTGCTTGGAAACATGCAAATGGTAACCGATGAGTGGGTCATTTGGTTCCATTGTTAGCCTGTAATATCTGAAACCTGTCTATGATTCTGAAGGTCAGTCTGTACCTGTTCCTGCCTGGTTATTTTTGTAATTGTTTTTTGCTTTTATTTTTTATTATCCCAAGAATGTATAATCAAATTTTCACTTTTTCTTTTCAGTGTGACGTTATGCTGCTGCAACAAAATACCCTTTTTATGTTTTTAGGATGATACTGTAACAGTAGATGGCGCTGTAGCTGAACCAAGTCTTCATTGCCCTTAAGGAAACATTGTGCTGCTAAACAGCTCATTGGTTTATTTCAGAGGAATAGATTCTTTGCCAGTAATCAGATTCTTTAAATGAACTTGCATCAGTCTTACGCGTTCAGGTTTCAGCCGATCTGCCTCTTCGCTCTGAGTTGGACGCCGTCTCTGAAGGCATAATGAAGGCTGCAGACTGTATCAAGGCCCCTGAGGTCGCACAGACCAGCGGACTGAGGTTTCCAGTCAAACCCAGCATCTTCACCCAAAACAGGATCTTTGAGGAGCTTTAAGTCGAACCTTAATGATTTAAAAGCAGCTGTTTACTAACTGCAGCTTTGAGTTTAACTATGTCAGAGCTTTTATCTTTCTTTGTGCCTCAGGAAAGTCAGGTGTTTAGAAAAGACTCCTCTGAGAGTCCAGGTTGTTCACAGCAATGATGAGAGAAGTAAATAGTGAGGGGGAGTCGGCTTTGTTAGCCTTTCTGCGCAGAGTGAAAGTGAAAGTGTTTCAGGTCCGTTCTCATAGTTCAGGTCTTTAATCTTGTTTTTGAATCGTTAGCATCATCAGCTGCTGAGGATGCAGACATGAAGCAGCTTGATGGATGATCAGCCTCAGTGCTGTTGGTCTGTAGTGATGCTACAAATATTTCAATCCCTTCAATACTAGAAAAATAACTTCACATCACTCCAAAAACAGAACATTAAAAACAATCCGCTGGACTTTGTTTCCAAGTTTGAAGTAGTTTTGCTTCCCATCCAGGAGGAATTTGGAAACCAAGTCCAGTGGATTGTTTTTAATTTTCTTTTTTTGGGATGACTATGACTGAGAAGCTTCACCAGCAACTTTACATCACTGGCTTTCCCCTCCAGGCTGGCCTGTAGTGCCACCTGGTGTTCATTGAGCATAAAACAGATCAGAGGATTATTTACATCCACTGAAGCTCAGATATGATGCTGTGTTTCATTTTCTGACCAATCATCAGCATAAGGCTGTTAGAACCAGACGAAATTCAGAGTCTAAAGACTAAATGTAGAAATAAGGTCTTTAGTTTCCTCTTTAAAATCATTTTATTGTAAATCTATGAGCTTTTAAGCTGTAAACTCTTCAGTTCAGCAGCTCAGTGATGCTGACTAACCTCCTTTCTCCTCTCGCCTCCCCCCAGACCCCCGACAGACGACTCAGGAATGCGTAACAACGTCGCTGCAGGTGCTCTCACCTCCACGCCTCCCAGCAGCCTTCCATCCCAGGGGAATCCCTGCAGCCCGCCGGACTCCGCCTCCTCCCTCACCCCCTGCTCCTCGCTGCCCCCCTCCGTGTCGCCCACCCTCACCGACGTCTTCGGCCTGCCCACGCCCCCTATGGGCAGTGGCGGCGGCTACAGCCTGAGCTCATCGTGCGGCGGCAGCGGAAGCTCGCGCTCTCCGTCGCCGCTCACGCTGATGCAGGCGGTGGCGGCATCTGGAAAACCCTTCGCCTCCAAGCCTATGGAGCTGTGGAGCAAACACGACGTAGCCGACTGGCTGGAGAGCCTGAACCTGGGGGAGCACAAAGACGCCTTCCTGGACAATGAGATCGAGGGCGCCCACCTGCCGTCGCTGCAGAAGGAGGACCTGATTGACCTGGGCGTGACCAGGGTGGGCCACCGCATGAACATAGAGAGGGCCCTGAAGCTGCTGCAGGACAGATAAACCTCCCAGGAGACAGGGGGCGACGCGAGCAGTCAGCCTGAGGAGAGGGAGATGTTTCCGGTCCCGCTAGCTGATCTCTTCATCAGATGTGGAAGGATAGAAGTTTCATCCAAGCTGAAGCTGCCTCTTGCTGTTTTTGTCCTCTCATCCTGCATCGTCGCCCTCATCTCAGCGCTTCGGCTTATCCAACCTCCGCCCGCCCCCCCCAGCCTGGGCGTCCGGGGCGTGGAGGAACTGCAGGGGGAGTAAAGAGAAACAGCCGTCACAGGACGTCTGCGAGTTACTGGAATATTTTAAACCCTGGAAGTATCAAAGGTTACTCATCTGGAGGTTTATTTCACAGACTCTTGCTTTTCCGCCTCGCTTTGGAATACTGAGACCTATCCGTACACCTGGACGGGTGCGTGAAGAACCAGCTGAGCTGGTCGTTGCTCCTTTTCTATCTTTGCTAGAATTTGTTCAGAGAATATTTCTTCACTAGAGTCCTAACGGAGTTATATTTCCGGGCGCATCTGCGGCTGTAGAGGAACATTTTCAGATAGACTCCTTTTTCTGTTGCTTTTCACCTATTTGTGTCAAACTTAGAGCATCAGCCGAGACATTTAAAGCAACCATGTCACCTTTCCACATAGAGGTCATGCATGTGGAGATACACACACAGACACAGATATGCACACACACATTGATGGCTCTCTTTCTCCTGAAAGAGTGTGGAGGAATGAGATCCACGTGGAGATGTAAGGGAAACCAAGGTGAGGACATGAGGAAGGTTGGACCTTGAAGAATGCCCAGAAGACGTCCTTGTTCCAGCTTCACTTGTCCTTCCAGCGCTGTGCGTATGTGTGTGTGTGTGTGTGTGTGTGTGTGTGTTTGCGTCTGTGTGTTACTGTTTGACCCAAAAATCCGTTTAGCTATTTTCATAGTTCTGCCATGTAGGCCAGAGTTTAGCAGAAGTAGAACCATTCCTTTTGTGCCTCACTCTGTTGGATCCTGTTCCACCTCACCAGTTGCACGTCAGCACACACTGTGAGCCCACGGTGACGCCAACGTGTCGCACACCTGTGCAAAGGTCGTAGTTCAGCTCAGGTTGAAATGTTACAGAGAATATTTTGGGAAAAACACAGATTGTCTGTTATAGCCGACAATAGCCGGATTTCCGTCAACCATCCAATGAAAACGGATTGGCTTGATGGAAACACATAAATTAGAAAAAAAAAATTAAAAAAAAGTTTTTTGCTCAAATGTTTTTAATGATTTGAAAGAGATGGTTTGTTTCTTTGTTATTGTTTTTTTGGTCGGTTCCACACTGCTCTGTTTGTACGATGAAAACATTTTTTCCTGAGTTATACGAGTCATATGATCAACCCTCCAGATATCACTACTGAAGAAGATGACAGGAAGTAATGAAAAAGTTCACTTTTTAGAACTTATATATATATATAATTATATATATATATATATATATATATATATATATATATATATATATACACATATATACATATATACACACACACATATATATACACATGTGTGTGAGCATATATATAAATATATATATACACACACACACACGTGTGTGTGTATATATGTGTGTGTATATATATATATATATATATATATATATACACATGTGTGTGTATATATATATATATATATACACACACACACACACGTATATACACATGCGTGTGCATATATATATATATATATACACACACACGTGTATATATGTGTGTGTATATATATATATTTATATATATGCTCACACACGTGTATATATATGTGTGTGTATATATATATGCACACACATGTGTGCATATATATACATGTATATATGTGTGAGCATATATAAATATATATATACACACACGTATATACACGTGTGTGTGTGTGTGTGTGTGTATATATATATAGATATTCATATATATATATATATATACACACACACATATATACACTTGTGTGAGCATATATATATATATATATATATACACACACACATATATACACGTGTGTGTGTATTGATCTTACAGTACAGAAATTTACTGGTTGCATCAGCTCAGATAGTCAAAGGAGAAAAATGTGCTTAAGGTGCATGGGATATACACAGATATATACAGTTTTTTGGGGTTTTTTGGGTGTGAAATACAGGGTTATTGCACAGGGTGTTTGCATGGGTATTTATAGAGACTGATATTTATATGTATAGTCATTGCACTGGGTGCCATTATTGCTTTTCCCAAGAACAAATTAACTAATTTAGTTCTAAAAAGTGAACCCTGTGTCTCTTTGTAATGTCTGAAGAATTTTAAGAAATGCTTTTGCGGCCCTAAAAATAAAAAATAGTCTATAACCAAAGCAGAAGTAAATGTAGTTGAGCAGCAACTCTTTGCGACCGCTTTTTTAAAATCTACTATTTACTGTTAAAACTTTATCAATAATGCACCTTAAAAACAAAAACAGTTTTGTCAGCTATAAGAGACCAATGTCTGTGTTTCCCAAAATGTTTATCTGTTCACGGTTGTATTTGAATCCTGTTCTCTTGGACACTTTATCAGCTTTCAACCGATTGAAATAGTTCACCCTAATATGATAAAACATTTAAGCACTTATAGAAACACGTAAGAACATAAATGGAATATTTTTATTTCACAAAATATTTGTGCACTGATGTCAGATTGGAGATGAATGAGTGACCAGCTGGAGCCAAAAGGAGTAACAGTCTGGTTTGTGTTTGGTTTGAGTAAAGATGGAGGCGGAACCAGAGCAGGAAGTCTTTCTCATATGTAAAAGGCTTTAAAATGTTCTGCGAGTAGTTTTTTTTAGTTATTTTTCTGTAAATCAATCAATGAGACTTTTAAAATTTAGGAATCGGCCTGAGGGAGGCGCTGTTGTTCACCATGAGAGGTTGGAAGTTAACAGACTATAACTGGGCTGCAGTTTAATCATCTCTAAGAAGCTGAAGCCTGCTGTGTCTGTGAGGCGCATCGTGTGCTGAGGCGTGTATATAAGAGTGTTTAACAGGATGGAAATATTTATTGGGTTCTGTGTATAGATCTATCATAAAGCTTACAGGGTTAAAAGGAAGTCTATGACGGTAGATCTATATTTCCTTAATGATCCTTTGCCCCTCCCACACACACAAACACACATCATCCTGCAGAGGATGCCTTAAAAAGCTCACTGCTCCCTTCCTCCATTGTAGTGGATCCAAGCATGCCCCCGCCCCCCCGCCCGCCTTCCATTGGCTCCATTTCACCCAGCTTCTTCAGGAGACAGACATCCACAACCCGTGTGTTCTGTGAACATCAGCCGTACGGTGGCTGGCGTGGGACAATGCTGCTATAATCCTGTTTTCAAACTCACAGCAGCGTGCTGGAGGCGGTAGAAAAGCACAGTATTTTTAAAGATTTGTATAGAGTTCTATGAAATTTTATAGAGGCTATCTGAACAAATACTGTTCAACACAGATGTATGGATTGCCAAAAACAGAAATAATATATACGTAGATCAAAATGTGGATTATTATTATTATTATTATTATTATTATTATTAGATTTATGGGTTATGTAAGAAGCAATATTTATTCTGAATGAATCTCCTTGGTTGTGTTTTATTTTATACTTTTTCTCTTGATGCCGTCACTTCATTAGTGTATTAATGACTTGTTGCCTAAAGTAGAAAACACTCTGCTGCAGTAGATTTAAGATATTTTGGCCAATCAAGTGTTTTCTGACAAACACCATCTGCCTAAGTAGAGCGCTCTCATGTGTACATTTGGAAACTTGTCCTGCAGGAAATAAATCTGCCAGCAAAGATCAGCAGGTTTCTCTGTGGAAACGTAGAGCAGAGTAGATTTAGTAGGAATCTTCACTGACCCACCATCACCCCCCCCTAAAAACACTGCTCCCACTTCCATCATCGTCAAACATTCGGGTAACTTTAGTTTCTCTTCCTTTAGTTTTCCATGAATAGATTTTTATTCTTTAAGTCTTCATAGAGGCTAAGATGTTTTTGGTAATTTGTGCTAAAGACTTGTGTTCATGTTTTCTATGTTGCTGTAATTTTGTGCTACTGAATCATCTTAGAGTCGAATAATTACTGAAATGAAAAGAGAGAATTTTCCTGTAAAAGCACCCCCCCCCCCCCCCCTTCAATTCCTCAAGGTTTCTTGTATGGCAACCAAAAGTCACTGTAAGAAATAAATATAATATTGCACTAGTGTGGTCTTCTTCCCATGAGTGTGTTCTTTTTTTCCACAGCTGCCGAGGAACATTTAAGACTAAATACTGCCACCCTCTGGACAGATTTAGTCATTACAGTTAATTGATCCACAATGTTTGTCCATAGCACTAAGATCTGTGGCAATTTTAAAAGAATTCTCCCTTCCCACTGGTTTAATCCAGTCCTGCTGAGGTGTAGGTACTGTCAGAGATGAGAAAGGGAAAAAAAATGGAAATATTTGAAAAATAAGTGTGATGGTGGAAAAGGAAAACGTGACGAGCAAACAAAATGAGCAAACAAAAAGCCTGGGATCTTTTTCCATAAGCAGGTTCACCAAACTCAGATTCAAATCCTCAACTCAAGTTGGGAACTCTGATTAGTTGAATCAACTCTAAGTATGAAAAACCATTATCAGTGGTAAAAGGTAACAGGAAGTGCCTATTTCACTCCACTGGAACAAGACATTATAATTAGTGTTGTGCCAATGCCATTTTTTGGCCCCGATACCTGGCTGTGCAGTATTGGCCGATACAATCTGTTTGAAATTGATGTGTGTGTATATATGAAGTACTGCATACTGCTTGGATGTAAAATAATTGCCATCATGGCTTTGTCAGGAAGCTGCTTACCTTTGTGAAGCAGGAAAAGATTAATACAAAGTGAATCCAGTAGAACTTTTTATTGCCTACCTGGAATGGGAGACAATAGTTCAATAAACTTTTGGATCTCTAAATGGTATCGGTGCCCTGTTTGTTGGTACTCGCCAATACTGATACCACCATTTTAGTGCTGGATCAGGGCCCCGCCCGATACTGGTATCGGTGCAACACTAATTATATTGAAAGCTGTGTCTGAATGTCCACCCTAAACCCAAAATCCCTCAATCACTATATAGAGTGAGGACTATATAGTGAACTCAATTAACTGACTGTTTGGACAGATTATCACTATAGCTGTGTCTAAATGTCCACCCTAATCCCTATTTAGGGCACTATACAGGTAAAAGCCAGTAAATTAGAATATTCTGAAAAACTTGATTTATTTCAGTAATTGCATTCAAAAGGTGTAACTTGTACATTATATTTATTCATTGCACACAGACTGATGCATTCAAATGTTTATTTCATTTAATTTTGATGATTTGAAGTGGCAACAAATGAAAATCCAAAATTCTGTGTGGGTGGACTGCTGCTGAGTGGTCCAAAGTCATGTTTTCTGACGAAAGCAAATTTACCATTTCCTT